CCTGCCATGGCAGGGGGTCGGACTAGATGATCTGCTCAGGTCCCTTCAACCCTAGAAACTATGAAACTATGAAACTAAGTGCTTGTCTAAGCTATTCCCAAATTACACAAACAACCCTGTTGCACAGCTGTAGGGTCTGTTGCCCCAAAATGGCCTAACCTGCCACAGGTAATGCAGAGGGATGAGAACCATTTAAAATTACATTCAGAGAACCATGTTTAATTTTTACCTACCTTTTTTCAGTAGATTACTATGTGCTAGTTATTACTTTTGGCAGGAGTTAAGATTAAAGCTGTACTGATTAAAGTTCACCAGAAATCTTGATTGGAATGAGAGTGGCTGCAGGCTGTTCAGTCTTCCAGCTGCACTGGAATTCATATCCCTGATTTGATGATTTAAAAAAAAAATTTAAACAAAAAACTACTACTTATTTCATTTTTATTGACATTTCCCTGCTGCAGTGGGATAACTTGTTTTGCTCTGAATGAGAATTTCTCACCTGATAATCTTTTATTATTTGCTTCTTTCTTCATTCATCACAAATGGGGTCCACTTCTCTGATTAATCTGGAGACAGTCCAGGGTTGTTGCTAGAAGACTCAGCTCTGCCCTTTAAGCTCAGGCCAGCAGCAGAGTTCTTCCAAAGCAACAGAAATTTGACAAGCTATTTTTAGCATTACAACAACTAGAAATTATATTAACAAACATTGAGGAAATCTCTGTTTAAATCTCATTAGAGAAAAAAAATCTCAATGTTTTCCAAACCATATTTCAGCCATTTAGCTGGCTACATCAGTGGGCTGACTGAAGAGAGTAGCTGCTAAAAGAAAGAAAACCATTGTGTGAATTTTTAAGCAGAGATGTGGGTTTTCCAGAAAATTTTGAATTGGAAAATTTTCCGGAAAAAGTTCCAATGCCCTAAATACAGCGTGATCTGATTTAGCATGTTTGTTTACTAAATATAAGTCAAATAAAGCTTAAAAAGTACTACCATGTTAATTTTATGTCCCACTAGCCACAAGTATTTGAACTGAAATATTAGGGAAAAATTAAATACAGCACACTTAATGTGGTTTAAATGTTATATTCAAAGAAATTCAAAGCTTTATGTGGAAAGAAATTATTTTTACTGGAATACTTGTAAAAATGTAAAGACAATACACAATAGCATGTACTTCCCTGACATTGTTTGTTTAAATTTAAGAAAAAAAATGAAGGTACGAAAAACTGTTGGCACACTCATTTTAGCACACCCAAAGAACTGTGCGTGATATGCCATGGTTCATCTCATCTACTTCAACAGAGTTTAACTCTCTTCCCCTGAGGTCATTGTGGTACCTCCAGTTTCACTGTCACTATCCGTAGGATCACTTGCACTACTCATTAGTTCCATTTCAGAGTCAGACTGAGGCAAACCTGATTCAGGACTACTTGAACCACATTCTCTTTCAATAAAGGCAGAGATGAGGGGCAGACAACTTTCTGCAGAAAAATTTTCCACCCCACATCTGTTTTTAATTCTACTGCACAGCATCTCTCCTCATTCATTAGTAAACAGAAGTGGTGAAGTGATTCACCAAAGTGGAAGGAAGGATAAAGCAGATTTTGTTATTACAAAAGAAAAATAGGAAAAAATAGAAGTAGCCCTACATAAAGCAAAAGATCTGAAGTGTAAATAATTAATGGAACCAATCCTGTGGCATATTCTTACAAAGGTGTCCCTATGCATGAATGAAAGTCTAATTTGAGAGATTTTGGTTGTAGCCGTGTTGGTCTAAGGACACAGGCAGGCAAGGTTCTTTGAATAGATGTGATATCTTTTATTAGATCAACTGAGTAGCTGGAAAAAAGTTCTTAGCAAGCTTTTGGGCACAGTCACCCTTTGTCAGGCTTAGGGAGTCTCTGCTGCTCTGAGACTCCAAGGAATGAGAGAAACTAAAAGTGTGGTAGGATGTCAGTGAGAATGTAAATGGGTAGAGATAAGGAAGACAAAAGGAAAAACAGGGGAGGGAAGGGGGAAGAGAGCAGGGGGAAAGAGGAAAAAAACCCAAAGGTCAGAGGGAGACAACAGTGATAAAATGCAAGGTGGAAAAGAGGCTGTTTGTGAAAAAGGGAATAGTTGGAGAGAGAATTAATTATGATAAGCTGATAAGTGGTATGAAAATACCAGAAGGAGAAGTTAAATGTACATTATACATGGATGATGTGAACATACTGGCTCAGGACAATGTATCAATTGAGAGGGTATTGAAGAATACTGAGTGTAAGGAAAGGCTCGGGGGCAAAGAGAAGCCCAAGGGTAATAATAACCCTTCACTTACCCCAGGAGGTAGAAGGAGCACAGCTGGAGCCCAGAGCACCACACCACACTTCTGGAGTGAATGCTCTACCGGATTGGTGGCTGGAGACAGCAGGACAAGACTTCCTGTGCTGGAGTAGGGCAGCTGGAGAGAGACAAAAGCATCTGCAAAGCAAAGATGTGGGAGGACTCTCTGGTCAGTGGCTGCTGGCAGCTAACTGTAGGAGAAGGGCACATGCCAATAGGCATGGGTGGTCTGTGGACCATCCAGAAACACTGAAATCCTCAACAGGCTGTGAGGCTAGCTTGCCGGGTACAGAAGGAAAGACCAGGGGCAAGTCCTGAGGACTCGGGGAGGTGTGTGGCTTGGTATCCCAGCCTCCAGGAATGTGGCAACCCAAGCCAGCTTCTTCGCATGGCTATTGATTCAGCCAGGGAAGGGACTGATAGTGTAAACTGATGAGGAGGAATCATCCCTGACTAGAAGACAGGAAGAGGCTTGAATTGATTTTTTGCCTCAGTTGCTTCCCAAGAAGGAATTAATAAAAAGGGGAAAAGATTAACCCCAGCTGAGAGAAGTTAAGTTCATTTGTTTTTTTTTCCTTTTCTGGTTCAATTTTTGGACCGTCAAAGTGCCCCTGCAATGTGGGGGGAGGGGAAGAGGTGGGGAGGTGTCATCCCCTGGATAAAAAGGCAGAGTGGAATGAACTCGAATTGTCTAAGGAATTGATATGGGGTAGCAAACTCTGAATGGGAAAACGGACAGTGGCCAGGGAATATTGGTGATACGATAGACAAATTAGGTAGACTGACTTGGGTCTCCTTACCTGGAGACTACTAGTCCATTAAAGAAAATACACAAGTTGTGTGTGAATGGTGGTGTGGGAAAGACCTGGCCCACTGATTGACCCACCGCCTCCCAAAGGATCAGTTTGGAGGGCCTGACCCAGACCCCAGCCACCCAGGAAAGGCCTATAGTTGGGTCCCCAAAAGAAGAAAATTAAGTGAATATCTGAATGGAGTTAACATCTAGGAAATGGTAAGGGTCAGGTGTAGGGAACGTAGAGCCCCACGAAGCGATTCCTCCAACAGGCCGAGACCTATCACTCAGCAGAACCAGCTCCCTATCTAAAACGAAAGATCCAAATTGTGACGGGCAAGAAAACAACACCAGAAAGTGGCTGGAGGATAGCATCAACCCTTCCTCATCTTGTTGTCATTCACTGGGAAGATGCCAGGCTGGAGAGGAACTAGGCCTTATAGCATCCACCCTGGGGCAAAATAAAAAAGTAAAATTTAAAAGTGTCAGGGGCAAAATTAAATAAGATGAAAAGTATGTTGATGGGTGTAGGGAATTGGGAGAATTTACAGAAGTTCAGGCTGTGTGTGGTAGAGGGTGTAATTACAATCTTGGGAAACCCCATGGATGCTGAAGAGAAAGGAATAAAGGCTTGGGAGAAGTTAGAGATAAGAGTGAGACAGATCTTGGGATCATGGAGTGGTAAAACATTATCTTTCAGGGCTAAAGTGGCTAAAGTGAAAACAGTACTCTTGCCAATCATCCTTTACATGGGAGTGGTGTATCCACCGTTATGGCAACAGATAAAGAGGGTACAGAGGAAGATACGTGTTTTTTTGTGGGGAAAGAAAAAGAAAAAAGGTAGCCAAAACAGAGCTATACAAAGCTAGGGACATAGGAGGTTAGGAGATGCCAGCTTTGGAAAGCTTTGTGTATATTTACTTTCCAAGTATGTTCTGTAAAAGACAATGGATGGAGCAGGGAAAACTGCATGTTTCTGCTGTTACCTGGCAGAAAGACCATTAAGAAGATAGGGCATGTATGGGGGAGAACAGAAAAAGCCATGGGTGTGGCAGCCACTGGCCCACTATATATTCATAAATTGTAAGGGACTGGAAGGGACCTTGCAAGATCATCGGGTCCAGTCCCCTTGTACTAGGCAGGAAAGACAACTGGGGTCAGGTGACCCCAGCGAGGTGACCATCCAGTCTCCTCTTGAAGATTTTCAGGGTAGGTGATTGCACCATTTCTGGAGGGAGTTTATTGCACCATAAACTCCAGTTCTGGACACAGTAACTTTGAAGAAGTTTTTCCTAGTGTTAAGCCTGAAATGGTCTTCCGGGAGTTTGTGGCCATTACTCCTGGTTTTCTCCAAGGGTGCCCTGGTGAACAGTTGTTCACTGAGCCGTTGATGTATTTCCCTGATATAGTGGTAAGCTCCTACCAAGTCCCCTCTCAGCCTTCTCTTTTTGAGGCTGAAGAGGCCCAAGTCCCTCAGCCTTTCCTTGTATGGCTTATCACACAAGTCTCTGATCATATGGGTGGCTCTTCTCTGGACTCTCTCAAGCTTTTCCACGTCCTTGTTGAAGTGTGGTGCCCAGAACTGGACACAGTATTCCAGCTGCAGTCTCACCAATGCTGAGTAAAATGGAAGAATCACTTCTTTGGTTTTGTTTGAGATGCATCAGTTGATGCATGACAGAGTACTGTTTGCCCTGCTGGCTACAGCATCGCACTGTCAGCTCATATTCATACTATGGTCTATTATTACCCCTAGGTCCCTTTCAGTCGTGGTGCTAGTCAGTTTGGTGCCACCCAGCCTGTGAGTATGTTGGGGATTGTTCATCCCCAGATGGAGCACTTTACAGTTCTCAAGGTTAAACTTCTTCTGGTTCCGATCTGCTCAACTTGCTAGCCTGTCTAGTTCCGCCTATATCTGCAGCCTATTTTCAAGCGTGACCACGCTACCCCATAACTTGGGTGTTGTCCATGAAATTGGCCAGTGAACTTTTCACCTCCCCATCCAAATCATTGAAAAGATGTTGAAAAGCACTGGACTAAGCACAGACCTCCAGGGGACACCACTGGCACTTCTCGCCAGGACAACACAGATCTGTTCATTATAACTCTCTGGGTCCTACCCCACAACCAGCTTCCTACCCACCTAACAGTTGAGCAGTTAAGTCTGCAATCCCCCAATTTCTCTTGAGAACATCATGGGATAATAGATCAAAGACCTTTTGGAAATCTAGATATACAGTGTTGACCTCCTCTCTCTTACCCAGGTGGTGACTTACCTGGTTGTAGAAGGAGATGAGATAGGTAAGACAAGACCTGCCCATGATGTAGCTATGCTGGCCATCATTCAGAATCCTACCTTCTGCATGCATATCACACATAGACTCCTTGATGATTTTTTCCAGGATTTTCCCTAGGATAGACGTTAGGTTAACTGGCCTATAGTTGCCCAGGTCCTCTCTCCTCCCCTTCCTGAAGATGATCACATTGGCCATCTTCCAGTCTTCAGGAACCTCCCCTGAATGCCACAAGTTTTGGAAGAGTTTCGCCAGAGGTCCCACGATGACTTCGGCCGGCTCCTTCAGCACTCTCGGATGAAGTTCATCCAGTCCTGCTGACTTATAAATGTCTTTTTCTAACTGATCATGCACCAACTCAACATCAACAGTAGGAAGGCGGTCATTCTGACCATGCCCATTCTGAACCTTATCTGGTATGATTTTCCCCTTAGTCTGGTGAAATACCAAAGCAAAGTAGTCATTCAGGAATTCAGTTTTCTCCTGAGTGTTGGTAACCAACTGTCCTGAGTGGTTAAGCAGTGGCTCCATGCTTCTATTTGTAGTGTTTTCTCCATATGGGCCACGTGTTTCATAGTCACGCTCAGTATTGGCTGCATTTAATCAACTTCACAGTTGGTTTCCATTACTGAACATATCCTGCTTTTGGCAGTAGTTTAGTAATAGGAAATGTATTTAATGAGGTTTCCTCATATTTTAAAGTATGATGAGGGGATTTCCCCCTAGTTTGATTGGGGAAAAAAATCTTGTCATATTTGAGTAAATATGGTACTATGCAGCTTCAAGCTATTAGTCTGTGTCCTCCTCTATAGCGAGAGACAAGATGTTTTCCCTTTTTTTATGGTAGTCCTTTAAGTTTTTGAAGACTGGTATCATGTCCCCTGTTAAGCACCTTCTCTAAAGCTGAACATGCCTAGCACCTTCACCCTCTCCTCATATGACTTGCCTTCTAAGTCCTTGATCATCTTTGTTGCCTGACTCTGGACCCTCTACCTTCTCCACATCCTTTTAAAAATGTGTAGTCCAGAACTGCATGCAGTACTCCAGATGAGGCCTAACCAGTGCCAAATAGAGAGGCACTAACACCTCCCCTCCTAATGTTTCTATGGCTGCATCCCAAAATCTTTTGTGTGGCTGCACCACACTGAAGACTCAGACTGAGTCTGTGATCTACCAAAACTCCCAAGTCCTCTTCCATACAGCTGCTATCCAGCCAGGTGTCACCCACTTTATATCTGTATTTTTGATTATTCCTCCAGACCAATTCGACTTTGCATTGGTCCACATTGAACTTCATCCTGTTAACTCTAGTCCAACTTTCCAATCTCAAGATCCTTCTGAATTGTGCTTGCATCCTCCAATATGTTCACAATCCTTCCCAGTTTCATGTCATCCACAAACTTGCTCAAGAAGCTTTCTATGCTAGCATCCAAATCATTAATAAACACGTTGAACAGCACTGGGCCCAGGAGACTCCTGTTAGATTCCACTCAAATCCTCCTGCCATTCTGACATGGACCCATTAACAATCACCCTTTGCTTGTGGCTATTGAGCCAGTCCCCTCTCTACCTTATAGCCGCTTTATCTAGCCCACATTTTTCTAATTTGTTTATGAGAAAGGCATGCCAGACTGCTTTACTGAAGTCCAGATACACTATATATACAGCATGCCCAGGCCTCAGTACTATGCTTCTTGTTTTGGCATGTGCAAGTAGGGGACAGACATCAGGGATTGGCATCTCAACAACAGTGCAAACATATTATGGGCTGCTCTCTGTCAACTGCACTTAAAATAACCATATTCCTAGATGATGCACTACTTCCATTGGTGTTTTCTTTACCAAAGAATGGAAATACTTTTGGCCTGAAGGATTATAGAAGAATTTTAACTGCCTGCGTAGAGTGGCCTCATTCTTTCAGGGAATGGAATTTGAGTGATGTAACTGCTTCTGTGCCAACTCTAGGTTCCCCCAATGTATGATGTTTCCTTTTGTGTTTATGCAGTAGTTTAGTTTAGCATTTGGAAATTATGATGTCCTCAAGGGAGCAGAAAACTATGTGTGTGTGTGTGTGTGTGTGTCTCCTTGTGCTTAAAGAAAAGATGTTTATTAACAAAACTTAGCTGTTTGCAAGATGCTGACTTCTTCTAGGAGTCATGTAAGTTTTTTCGTGAGTGAATGCCAGTAGCAGATTTATGGATAGTGGGGCCCTATGTGAATTAGCACGACACACCAGTAGCGGGGGAGAGGCGGTGGCTGGAATTTCCAGATGGAATGGCTGAAGCAGCCCACAACCCGCTGGGCAGGAGGGAGGGCCACAAGCAAAATGTGGGAGGTGCCCCGGCCTCTCTCACCAGGAGCCAGCCCCTGCCCCCAGGCAGTGGCAGCAGCGGCGGTAGGGCCCCCTGTCACTGGGGGCCCTGTGCCACCACACGGCTTGTTTCACAGTAAATCTGCAACTGCTGAGTACATGTGCGTGTGGGTGTACTACCTATGACTATTTAGAAGAGGCAGACATGCCTGCTTTTCATTCCAACTTGGGGACCATCCACCTGAAAGGAGTACTGGAACATAGGCCATGACTGGGGAGTAGCTCCTAAGATAGCCCTGAGGTTTAAAAGGATGCTGACTACTTCTCCATACTGGTCACTACCCAGGTAAGTACTGGAGGAGGGGCCTAGCACTACCATACTGTAGCTTTACTTACAAAGTCAGGCACCATTTTAAACATGGGACATGTTTTATTATTTCTCTCTATAATCCCACAATGGTGTAGCAGTGTAGGACATGGAACCCTCTGGTGCCTTTTACAAACTCACTGAATACATGAAATGCTTTTTACACCAATATGTGGGGCCAGCCT